TGTTGCATGACCAGTCCAGTTTGTTGTCCACCCACAGCCCGAGGTACTTGTACTTGTTGACCACCTCCACCTCCTCTACCTCTATCTGAACCGGCAGTGGACCTGCTCTGGACCTATACAGTAATATGGTATAGGTCCAAGTAATAAACAGTTGTAGAACTATAATTGTTATCATACAGAATGATTGTCTATACAGAATTTACAGTAGTGCAGTTTAGATCAGTGAGATATGTGGTTAATTTCTACAGTGGTTATATAAAGTGCTAGTGGTTGTGAGTGGTGGTTCGGTCCATGTTATTATTGTGTGTATGAGGGTACAGTTGGACATTTTTTTGTTTTTGTCTAGATGTGTGTGTGTTCAGTTATAGGTGACTGTGGGTGTGTGGGTGTAAGCTGTGTGATGAACAAAAGACACATGTTAATGTGTATCTCTGTCTTTTCACTGCTCCACGCTAAATTCACTTCAGTACAGTTACAATAAAATATCTGTATTAATAATGAGGCTTAGTTGCTGAGGAGCTACACTGCGTGCTCACTACTCTCCTGGCTTCGAGCTGCACTCGTACTCATCATGGTAACATCTCTCTCTCTCGTTCCAGATAAACTGATGCATCTCGCAGCTGTCACGACCTCAGCAGGACAGAATTATTTCAGTGTTAAATTTGATGCAATCTGCTAACATAAGTATCTCGTGGCTGAGTGACTCATTTAAATTGTCTCCTCTCATAATGTTGTGCTCTAAAAGGGAAATATATACACAATAAAACCATGTGTGGAGTCACTGTCCAGGCTTTTGGGTTGCTCAGCTGACGCTGGGCCTCTTTAGTAAATCTGGCTCTACATAGTTTGACAATTGACAGTTTTGACCATTCAGATTCTTTCTTGGCTCTGTCATGTGATTGAAAGCTGATACCAAATCTTCTTTTTCGTCAGGACAGAAGAAAGTAGCAGTGCGTTGCTCTGGCACATTCTAGCAGCTTTACATTTATCCATGGATTAATAAAGTATTCTGATTCTGATTCTGATTCTGATTCTGATTCTGATTCTGATTCTGATTCTGATTCTGATTCTGATGAGGCCAAATTGTAGCCGGAGTCGCTCATGTGACTGATAATAATACTCAGTTCAAGGTTCTTTATTTGTCACATGCACAGTTATAAAAGTATAACACACAGTGATGAAGGTGAATTCTGTACATTAATATGAATAGACATCTGACTATTTTACAGGATAGACAATATAAACATATTTAAAATTAAAGGAATTTGAAATGTACATTGTGCCTTGGTTTAGTGTCTGGAAGAGTCCTGTCTCAGTCAGTTATAGATGATGTGAGAGGGCGGGTGTGTGTGTTTAGGGCATGGATGGCTTGGGGATAGAAGCTCCTCTTGAGTCTCTCTGTCCTTGCCCGGAAGATGCGGAACCTTCTACCAGATTGCAGAAGTTGGAACAGTTTGTTGCCAGGATGGGACGGGTCCTTCAGTATCTGCGCTGCTCTAGTCCAGCATCTCCTGGTGTAGGTGTCCTGAAGCGGGGGGAGAGCAATCCTGCAGCAGCGTTCTGCTGTACGGATCACTCTCTGGAGAGCTTTTTGGTCCTTCACACAGCTGTTCCCAAACCACGATGTCATGTTCTGTGTGAGGATGCTCTCCACAGCGCCTGTATAGAAAATCCTGAGGATCTTTGGAGAGACCCTGAACTTCCTCAGTTGTCGTAGGTGATACAGGCGCTGCCTAGCCTTTTTGGTCTGGACCTGAATGTGGGCAGCCCATGTCAGGTCTGAGGAGATGTGGACACCAAGATACTTGAAGGACTGCACCCTCTCCACTGGAGCTCCATTGATGATAATGGGCTTGTAGTCTCTGTGCTGACCCCTTCTGAAGTCCACCACCAGCTCCTTGGTCTTGCTGACGTTCAGCTGGAGGTGGTTGTCCTGGCACCACGATGCCAGATTCTTCACTTCATCCATGTAGGCCACCTCATCGTTGTTGGAGATGGCACCCAACACCACTGTGTCGTCAGCAAACTTCACAATGGTGTTGGAGCCATGGGTGGCCACACAGTCTGAAGTGTAGAGGGAGTAGAGCAGTGGCGAGAGGACACATCCCTGAGGTGCTCCTGTGTTGATGGTGATGCTGTTGGAGAAGCCCCTGCCCACCCTCACCACCTGAGTTCTGCCAGTGAGGAAGTCCAACACCCATGCACACAGACGGCTGTTAAGTCCCAGATCCCTGAGCTTTGTGAACAGTCTGCAGGGCACTATTGTGTTAAACGCTGAACTGTAATCAACAAACAGCATTCGCACATAGTTACCCTGTTTCTTGTCCACATGGCTGAGAGTGGTGTGTAGGACGTCGGCGATGGCATCCTCTGTGGATCTGTTGGATCTGTAGGCGAACTGCAGCAGATCTGTGGTGTCTGGGATGGAGGAGGAGATGATGTTCTTCAGCAGCCTCTCAAACACCTTCATTACTACCGAGGTCAGTGCAACTGGCCGGTAATCGTTCAGGGATGAGGGTTTGCTGTTCTTGGGCACAGGGATGATGGTGGATCTTTTGAAGCATGTGGGGACCACAGACTTTGCCAGGGACTCGTTGAAGATGTACGTGAACACACCTGCTAGCTGGTCAGCACAGCAGTGCAGCAGACGGCCGGTGATGCCGTCTGGCCCCGCCGCTTTCCTTGTGTTCACTCTCCTCAGTGCCGCTCGGACGTCATGCTCCGTGTATTGGCAATTGGTTCTTATTCGTCCTCAAAAGTTTGTATAGTTGTCACCTTTTACAGTGGCCTCAGTGAGAGGCTGCTATGTGCATACATATCATTTAGTACCCAGAAATTCATTCAGCATAAAGTACAAGCCGTTGTTTCAATGATTTGTAATTTCTGACCACGTTATCACAGCTTTCTTTTTGCAAACTGTTTGTTAACACTTAACAAAGACAGTGAACATGAGGCTGCTGACTTCATCTCCTGCTGTGGAACTTCACAGTTTATGTGAATGAATTGTGGTTTTAAAGTTCTGCTGCTTATTGGGAAATAATGTTCTCTTCCTCTTGAATGTAGCAGAGGACCAACCCACTGGGCCTCTCAGTTTCAGAGAGAGACTGTTTGTTATCAGAGTAAGTACACCGTTTACTTGTTTGATCTGAAACTGTTCAGCCAAACTGTTACTGAACTTGATTTCTGTGAGCAGGGCTTGTGGAGGTTTGTGCTTCAACTGGGAGTGGTCTACTTAACCGAGTATTTCATCAACCAGGGTTTGGTGAGTCCTCTGATGCCCTCTAGCAGCACGCTCAGCTCACTGCATGCTGTTAGTGAAACTTGGCTCTGATTTTGTGTGATGTTGTGAGAATATTGAACCAGGAATATTTTTTCCCTCTCTGTAAGATGGAACTCCTGTTCTTCCACAATATTTTCCTGACCCATGCAGCTCAGTATCGCTGGTCAGTGATCCATTACAGAGAGTATTCAGTATGAATGACTTCATGCAGATTGTTTGGGGTGTGCAGCTCTACTTGTTTCTTGTTTGCATCCTCAGGTATCAGACTCTGTACCAGCTTGGTGTACTGCTCTCTCGATCCTCTCTGCACTGTGTGAAGATCAGGAGAGTGTGGATTCTCAGTGTTCTGCAGGTGAGAAATGAGAATAAAATACAAATCAGCACCAGAGGGATGTCTGCTCCCCTTTTTTTGACAAGGTAGAGGAGCATAACCTGCAACTTTCTCTGACTGGCTCCTCACTACAAACAATAGATTTGAACATCAGTATTTGTGGCTGCTGTGCTCAAAGTGTGTACACACAAATATGTGTGTCTAATCTGCCTAATGTGAGTGTCTGAATTTGCACTTGAAGCCATTTATAATACTTACCTTGCTTGATCTGCTGCTCACCACAAACAAGCACAAGAATACAGTTTGCACCTTTAACTGTATATTTATAAGTTTTACACCTTTTCCTACTGATAAAAAACATATTTATGGACATTCATATTACACAAAGTAATTAAGCAATAAACAATAAATGAATGTGTTTTTCTTTCTACTATGGACACTTCTGTTTTTGTTACGACAACAAAACCTACAAAACTGGACAGTCTGGGGAATGAGCTACCAGAGGCAGGGTCAAAAGTATACATGTCACTTTAGTTTGGTTGCCTTTTTGAAATGAATCATTGGTCAGTGTCAGACGGCTTAACAAACAAAACTTGCCTCTAAAACTGTTCAGGTATAAGGCCTGGACTGAAAATGAGTGAAAATGAAGCCAGTGTTCAAGAAAAACCTTAAAATATCTTCAGAAAGCCGAGAGAGTTTAAAAAATGACAAGAAAGTTAGGTTACTTGGAAGCAAAACATGAAGAAAGTAAGGCCTGGTCAAGACTTTGCACAATAATACATACATATATATATATTTACATGTCAAGTCAGTACAATTTTTGCTGGTTTCACTGGTTGAGGTGAAGTTACTGTATAGACTTATTAAAATGCCACAAATTAGACCAAAACATTAGCACACAAGTAATGAAACTCTGTACCTGATGAAGGTGTTGCTATGGATGTGCAGGTGTCATCAGTGTCTTTTATTAAAGCATGAACAGGAATTCATCAAATTACAAAAAGGACCTAAAAGTAATGCTTTAATGCAATGAAGTCTGGCAACTGAATCAGGGTAAGCTTCCATTAACAGGCAGTGACTTTGCAATACAGGAAAGCTGAAGGTTTCTCAGACAAGTGGATGTAATCATTTATGAAGGTCAGATACTTTGCAACCTCAGTATAGACGCTAGGATGGTTGGTGAGGCCACAACTGCCAGGACTCCCATGACTCATGATTCCCACCTGCACAAATTTCTTCCTTTTACGACACACCAGGGGACCACCATAGTTTCCCTGTGGAAATGAAACACACAACACTGATTAGTGTGGCCTTTTTCTTCCTGTTTAGGTCTCATTTAAAACACAGCAGATTCAATTATACACTAAAAAGTAACTAGTAACTACAGCTGTCAAGTGACTTCAGTTGAGTGAAACTAAAGTACTTCATGTTTGATAAATCAAGTGTTTTCAAAGGTATAATCATCTATTCAATTAAATGCAAAAAAAGAGTTTAAAAAAACTCATATAAAATAAAACTCACTTTGCAGGCATCCCTTCCCTTCCTGTTGGCACCACAAAGTGTATCACGGGCTATCTGAGGATATGTCTCGTTACAGGTCCTCCAAGGCATGATGGAAATGCTCAGCTGTTGAAGGGTTTTTGGAAATGGCAGTGGTACTGCATGGAAACACAGGAAAAGTATGGAAGTGACGGTTTGCTAAATCGGTTTTATTTGAAAAAGTGATTTGAAATAGAAATTTTACATTTTGTTATTTAACAAATTAAAAAATGTCTTTCAAACACTAAATGAAAACTATTATATTGAATGAATTATTTTTTCAAGAAAATCTTTTTTTGTTTTTATAGTTTCAGGGGGTTTGGCTTCTATTTCTTTATTTTATTATAAATCAAAAAATTTTGTTTCAATCCCGTTTTTCATATTTCAGGTCTTTTTTTTCTGCTTCAGACTTGTGGGCATGTATCAAAGGGCGGGGCATAAACTAATGATTGACAGCTCCTGTGTCGTGTTCGTTAAAAGTTAAAAATGAGCCCTTTGGTTAAAGATGGCGCTCCTTCAATGAATGTTGCCAGCACTAGCCGAACAATAAAGACATACGGTTTCTGATGAGCCTGTGATGGACCATATTGATGTACACTGAAATTATAGATGTATTAAGGTGGATGTGATATTCTGGATTAGGCTCTTCGAAAAGATCAGGACAGAAGGACGTGATACGTGCTTTATTGAACAGCAGGACATCACACACAAACGTGTTGTTTTTCTTAGCGGTGCACAAGCTACCTTTTTTTTATTATGTTGGTCAACCAAGAACTAGCCCTGTAACAAGCACTTCTGTATTTTACCACTGGGGGGCTACAATTCACTCTATTACAGTGGGGGATTCAAATTTGAAAATGATGTCTAGAATTTGAGGTCGAGTCTTCGATTCTTCTCCAGTTTATAGCTCAGCTCAGCCCAGCCAATCAGGAAACAATATTCTCTGTTGCTGGGGTAAAACTGGAGCTGTCAATCATTTGTATGTGCCCCGCCCCTCCTTTTTGTACACGCCCACAACACACAACGGGCTCAAAGGTCTGAAACTGAAGAAGAAAAAAAACTAGTGAAAAACAAACAAAAAAACAAAAAAACGAAACATTATCAATGAAAACGAATAATTCAGTCCAAATAAAATAATTCTTTTTTTTCTATACACACTCTATTCAATATAAACATTTGGAATTTCATTTTCAAATCACTTTTCAAATTAATAAAACTTCTGACGATGATTTAGCTCCTCAGTGATGTTTCTTATTTGTAAAGTGCTTTGCACGTTATAAACATCTGTTTTATTGGTGACGGAATGGATAATTACAATGGAGTACAATGTGAGCCTGCCTTGATACAGCATGTATACTTTAAAGCCTACTTTCTGTGCTTAACTTACCACCATTTCCCACTTCCCCCCAGCCAGTCATCCAACACTCAGATGATGGACCAAAGGTGTCATCCTTGTCAGGCAGAGCCACTGGTGCAACATCTTTTGAAAATGTAATCGGTTTCCTCAGCTTGATCAGAGCAATGTCATTTTCATAGTTGCTGTTGCCCAGGTGTTGGTATGGAACAATATTGGCTATACCCATGTAACGGTGAGCCGCCTTTTGCAGCTGATATGAGCCGATAACAACGAACGATCGACGATAATCATAACTGCATGACAAGAGAAACACACACATTAAGTCTCGTGTATTTTGGAATGACCAAGCCTTCAACAAAACAACACTACACATGGGTTTTGTGGACACTGGTGCATTCAGCAGTTTAAAGGGCTGCGCATGTTTTTTCATAGTTGGCAGGAACTAAAAGAAAAGGAGCTGCAGTGGAGTAAACATTACATTAGTTTGGACTTGATGCGGTGTCTGCTGGGTGTGTAAATATGCAGCTACTCACTAAAAACACAGCTTAAGATGCTGAAATGTGCATATGGTGTATTTAAATACTGACTGAGGCCTCCAGGTCTGACAAGTTAGGCCCACTCACCTAACTTGTCAAACTATTTCAGGACACTTGTCAGAAAGTGTCCTGAAATTATTTTGTCTTTATTGGCCACCAGTGAAGGTCCCTATGAGTAATTATTCCCCCAAAATACTCACATGCAGTGTGAAGCTTTTTTGTTATGACTGCTCTGGAGGATGTTCATAAAAATAATGAGACACGTTTCTGCAAACACACACAGACTTACTTAGCCACGCACTGTGCAGAAGTCAGCACCCACTGCTTTGCAACGATGGTGCCGCCGCAGCCCCATTTCTTCGTTTTCGAATCATTAGCTGTCATGTTGAGGTGAACCATCCATGGCCAACTTTCCTTTTTGGCATCCTCTGCACCAATGATGGAGCTCCTCACTTCATTTCCCAGTAGACCTGAAAAACACAAACAAAATGCTGGATGTAAGTTTGAGGCATCTAAGAAAATTAAATCCCATGTTTGCTATTTTGCTCAGAATGGATGATAAACATTAGAGCATCAGTCTATCGAGGCTGCACTCTGAAATCTGGGCTCTGGAGTTGGGAAATTAAGGTTCAGCATTTTTCTCTCTCACCACCACTGTTGTGCAGCAGTACCAACACAGTTAGCAGAAGTTTGCAGAAAGCCATGGCCGTGATGAAGAACAGTGTAGCAGTACCTCTGTGTGGTGAGGGGGGAACAAGTGCAGCTTTATATGCACTGCTGGAGAGATGACTATCATTAGTCCCGCCCTTTACATCTCAAACCACACCTAAAAAAATGTACATGCGATTTTGACATGCAGTGGAAAAATTGTTGAAGAGTTTGGTTGACCATTTTTCCAATGTGTCAAGGTTTTTACCTCTATTGTTTCATTATCTGCACTGCAGACCTGTTAGTGTGGCACAGTGTGCTTGAAAAGTTACCTGCTACTGCTGTGTTTAATTTCCACTTAAATTGTAATGATAGAGTTAAAGTGTAAGGCATAAAAGGTTAAACCAGATCAACTATGGGATTGCTTTCTCCTATTCCACTGAAATGATCTCATATTGATGTTATTCTAAAATTGTTCTCTGTGTTTTGCTAATGTCTAATATTTTTACTTATATTGTTAAACAGACTGTAGTGAACAGGGTTCATTAATATATTTTATATTATAATATAAAATATGCGGTGGTTGGATGC